GACAGAACAGCTCCACCTGGAAGCAAAACAATTAGTCAAAGACCCTTTGTTGTGAGCATTTTACCCTGGAGTGGGGGACTAGGCAATGTCTACCTCCTCCTCCTCATAAGGTCCAATGACAAGGCAGAATTTGATTCCACTTAAATTCACCCCAAGGTATTAAGGAGGTTATTAAGTTTACTTACAGAGTACTGGTGAGGGCTTCTGAACAGGAGCATTGGTGAACCCAAAAGCAGTTTCACTGGAAGGTCTCCACCCAGAATACATACTGGCCTTTCCCATGGCTGCTGCTATTGGAGCCCCTCTCAAATAATCTGCAGTCTAAATACTAGCCCAGTCTAATTACTAGCCCCTAACCCAGATCCTGAATCCACTTGAAGTTAAGTCATGCAGAGTTATATATACCTGGCTGGGAGAGGTGGCTGGATACTCCCTCTGTTAGGGAATGTCAGTAGTCAGCAAGCCTGGCTGTACTGAGCTTTGGCAAGCAGACACCGTGGTTATCATGAAGATATCAGTTGCCCCACTTGGAAAATAGTGCAATATAAGACCCTTAAAACCCATCCTTTAGCTTACCAAATCTCCATCGTTTGCTTTTGAGACAGTCTCCCCATGGACAGGCAGGCTGTTAACTTAAAATCCTCCTGCTTCAGCTTCCCAAGTGCTGGGATTATGGCTGTGTACCACATCCTGTTTAAATTCCCATTTTAGTGTGTGTGTGTGTGTGTGTGTGTGTGTGTGTGTGTGTGTGTCTGTGTATGCACCCATATGTAGTACATGCATGCAGTTGAAGGCGTGTTTGACAAGAACAGAGGTTACCATCAGGTGTTTTCTTCTATGACTTCACCTTACTCTTTGAGACAGACTCTTCACTGAACCTGGAGCTCGATGATTAGACTAACTGGCCAGCAAGCCTCAGGGATCATCCTGCCTCTGCCTATTACAAACAAATGGTACCACTCTCAGCAGTTTTTTTAAATCACGGTCCTGGAAATCAAAAGCAGGTTTTCATCCTTACAAGCAAGCACTTTACTAACTGAACCATCTCCTCAGCCCCTAAACCCTCACTGTTTAAAAAGACTTATTATTTTTGTGTATTGTGCTTATATAAGCACATGTGTGCAAGGGTCCTCTGAGTCAGAAGAGGCTATCAGATCCCCTTGAGTTGGAGTCACAGGTGGTTGTGAGCACCCAACAAGGGTGTTGTGAAACAAACTCAGGTCCTCTGGAAGAGCAGCCACTGAGCTTAGCAGATGAGATCTCTCTCCAGCCCCATGATGCATTACATTTTCTTATTAGCAAAATAATTGACAGATGGTAAAGACCTAATATTTGTCAGCCAGCCATATATAAAATTGCCTGTTTTATTATTATAAACTGATTTTTCATCAAACTTGTGCCACATTTTGGTAACATAGAAATTACTGTGGGGGTCTGTACACCAAATGTGAGGTTTTCAATTCAATTTATAAATGTTTTCATGCTAAAGTGGAAAGCATGATGAAATTTTAGCTGGGAGGGCTGTGGAGATAGCTCTTCCATAAAAGCACTTGCTGCTGCCTGTAAGTGCTAGCTAGACAATCTGAGTTCAATCCTTGGAACACACAGAAATGTGGAAGGAGAACTGATTCCATCCACAAAGATGCCTTTTGACCTCCACCACATGCCACGTTACAGTCACACACAATCATTTTTTTAATTTAAAAAAAATTAACTTTAAGTTGGGTGAGGTGGTGCACAATCCCAGCACTTGGCAGGTGAGATAGGTGAATTTCCGTGAGTTTGAGACCAGTCATGTCTACATAGTGAGTTTCAGGACAGCCAGGGCTACACTGTGAGGCCCTGTTTCAAAAAAAAATAGCTTTAAGCTGTTGGCCTGAAGCAGAAATAGCAACAAATTATTCTCATCAAAATAGAGAAAAATGGGTCAGTGAGATGGGAAGGCAGATATAGGTCCTGACAAACATGATGATTTGAGTTTAATCCCCAGGATTCATGATTCATATGGTGAAAGTGAAGAACTGACTCTCACAAGTTGTCTGTCTTCTCTATATGAAGACTGAGGTACACTTGCATACACACACACACACAAATTTAAATGTAGTAAGAATATCTTAAATATGGAAGAGAATGAATTATAAACTAACCATTGCCATCATCCAGAACTAGTCCTTCTCATCTTTCTCTTCTTATACACAAGATGAATGAATGAGTGTGTCATTGTGCTAAAAATTGTTATTCAGTTTTTTTTTGGTAAAGTTAAGTACATTATTATAAGTTAATGTTTTAGGAAATAGCAGCAGCAACAGTAAGCAATTATACTCCTGGGTATTTTGTTTTTTTGCTTTTTAAAGATTGACAGCCTTTACAAGTTGGAAGGGTCAGCTGTACCTGAACTGTTATTCTAAATTTGTTTGAAATTAACTAGAATAGACAGTAGTGCAGCCTTTATGAAAATATTGACATTTCGCAAAATAACCCACAGAAATAGATCTACCATATATATGATCAAGCAACCTCACTACTAGGTTTTTTTTTCCCAAAAGGAAATGAAAGCAGTACCTGAAAGAGACATCTACTTATGAATGTGTTTTGCAGAATTATTCACAACAGCCATATGAATGGATAAGGAAAATGTGATATATACTGGATTATTTGGTGGTAAAAAAATCATATTCTTTGCATATGGATATAACCAGAGGACATTATGTTAAACAAAATCAATCAGGCACAGGAGAAAATACCATGTGTTCTCCTTTATATGAGGAAGCTAAAAAGTTGATCTCATTCATGTAATGTTTTATGGTTATGAGAGCTTTAGAAGAGGAGGTTGCAGGAAAGATGGTTAGCTGGGTATAACTCTCATTTCCTACAGCACACAGGTTAGCTATTAATGACACATATGTTTCAAAATAACTAGAATAGTAGGATTTTGAATGCTTCCAACACAGAAAAAATAACCTTTTGAGGAGTGTGATATGCCAATTGTCCTCATTTAATCATTGCACATTGTATACATGTATTGAAATATTAAGTTTTCCCCATAATTTTGTATCATAATTTCACAACTAAAAGTGAATATATTTAAAAAGAAAAAAATTAATAATGTATTTTTATAGTAAAAGAAGATACCAGCTTATTTCTTGGGTAATATTTTTCTTGCTACAAAATAGAGTATGATCTGAAGCTTCCGGAAAAACTACAGAAATTCCTAGTTTGCTTAATGTGCTTACAGACATTTTTAAAAATGTGTCTGTGATCAAATAGAATCCACAAGAGCTGGTATTATAAGGTGGAGCAGGTTTTTAATTTTTTCTTTTGTTATTTTATATGAATGTTTTTGCATAAATGTCTGTACACCATGTGCATGCAGTGCACTTGGGGACCATAAGAGGGCATTGGATCTCCTGGAACTGAAGTTAAACAATTGTGAGCAACCTTATGGGTGCAGTGGATCAAACCCTGGTCGTCTGAAAGAGTAGCCAGTGCTCTTAAACCCTGATCCATAGCTCCAGAGCAGTGAAGAAGGGTTTTACAGGTGCTAGTTTTGATCTTTGGTGAGCTAAAATGCATTATAATATACCCAAGGAGGGTGTTGTCAGGTCAGTCAGTGTTTCTCAATGTGACTTGTGAATAAAGCTTAGCTAATATTAGAAGCTGACTTCCCCATTTTTACCTTCACTATTGATTTTAATAACGCTAAAATTTTACTTCATCTGCTAAAAAGTAACAGAGCCCCCATTCCTCTTATTATTCAGCTCCTAGACCTGTTTCCAAAATCTTGATGCTTTACTTGTATTTCTTAGGTGTAGTAAGACTCATGCTCCTATTGTGTAGGCTGTTTTTTTTTTTTTTTATTTTATTTTTTTCAAACCAACAGACCACAAAGATCTTCTGAAAAACCAGGTTGACTTGACGAGGGTTTCTGAAACTGGCCAATCACAAAGTCCTCAAAAACTCTGACAATGTATTTGTTCTAAATGCTAACAGCAAAAAGTTCTGCTTTTGTTTAAGCTTCGCTTGCTTGCAAAGGTCATGAAAGACCTATATAAATTTCTCTCTGCTGTGGCTGATGGCTAATTACATTTTCCTGCTCTCAGGAGGGTCCCAGCGGTGAAAGTTTTTTACCCTGCAATATCTTGGTGTTAGCTCCTGGTTTTTGCCATCATAGCATTATCAGGAATTCACTCTGGAAAAAGATATATGTGCCGGGCCATGGTGGCACCCACCTTTAATTGTAGCACTCGGGAGGCAGAGGCAGGTGGATCTCTGTGAGTTCAAGGTCAGCCTGGTGGACAAACCTACACAGAGAAACGCTGTCTCGAAAAACCAAATAGCAAAAAACAAGAAGAAGAAAGAAGAAGAAGAAGAAGAAGAAGAAGAAGAAGAAGAAGAAGAAGAAGAAGAAGAAGAAGAAGAAGAAGAAGAAGAAGAAGAAGAAGAAGAAAGAAAAGAAATGAAAAAGATATATGCTTGAAATGAATCAATCCCATGTCGTCTAGCACAAGACACCAGAAGTTTTGAAAACTGAGTAATACACCATCCTCAGAGACTCAGAGACTACATATTGAAGGAAGACTTAAGCAAAAACAATTTAGAGCTCAGGAATGGTGGCAGCATGCCTATAATCCCAGCATGTAGGAGGCTGAGATACGAGAATCACAACAAACTCAACACTGGTCTGGACACAAAGTCAGATACTGTCATATGTATCAAACAATATATAAAAATTCCAAGTTCCCTCAGAGGGACACATTACAACAGTTAGGTAGTAGAAAGACTGGCCAAAAGGTCTCACTTAGGGCTGACAGACACAAAGAGTGTTCTAGAACATTCCTAGGAGGCGGCAAAGGCCTCTCGGCTACCATAACCGGATATCACTAACACACAGCGGAAGTGCTGGACTCTCTCTCCGCGCCATTACTGTTGCCGCTAAGCACGGAGCGTCCTGTCAGGCTGCGGAGGTAACTGTGTAAATTGGGACTTGTTTATTTGTTAAAATGGCTTTATCTAAAACCCAGCCCTTGTCTTTAGAGGACTGTCAGTGTCTCCTTTGTATGGAATTCCTCATTGAGCCTGTAACTTTGCCTTGTACGCACACAATGTGTAAGTCATGCTTTAAGGCTCTTCTCCGGAAAACATTTTTATCGTGCCCCTTCTGCCGCACCTGGGTCTCGTCATGGGCTCGGAATCATACTCATATAAATAGTCTTATCAATAAGGAACTGTGGGAGAGAATTCAAGCTCAGTATCCAGAGGAATGCAGACGTAGGGCCCCTGGGGAGGAACTGCCATCATTGCCTCTCAGTGATGCTATGCCAGTTCGAGTGCTAAGTAATCCCGGGGAACTGAGGAAAGAATATGAAGAGGAGATGATGAGGTTGGAGGCTGAGCGCCAGGCCACCGAGGAAAAACAAACCAGAGCTAGTCAAGAATACATAAAGCATTTATTGGCACAGGAAGTGGAGGAGGAAAAAATTTGGGCAGAAAAGCTCAGACTGGAAGAACAAAGGCTAAGGAAGGAGGAAGAGGCTAAAAAATTAAGCATGGATGAACCAGCAACATCCCCAAGAAAGAAAAAAAGCAAACAAAAACATTGTGACAATGTCCCAAAGTTTCACCTTCCTCAGTCTTGGCTTCAGTCAGCATCACAGTTTGACACTGTGAAAGATGGCAAGAAAACATCTGTGAAAACTGACAGTGATTGGAAGAGCCCTACAGGACAAGGAAAGAAAACTGAAGAAAATATGCTAGCAGCTACTGTGTCAAGATCTCCTGAGATTCCAAACCAAGCTACTGTAAAGCCATATTATCCATTGTTTTATGGCTATGATGTGGAAGTGGGCACTTTGGAAAATGAGGCAGCAAAACCAAGCTGCTCTAATCACAACCTTTATGTCCCACCTAAGAACATTAAACCAAAACAAGCTACAGCTCACTCTTCTGCTGAAACAGAGAGTGGAAGTAGTGCATCAGGCGTAACAGAGGAAATTGGAAACAGCACAACTGAGGCAAAAGGTGAAATGTCTCACCCTTCCAGCAGTAAACATACTTCTAAAAGAAAGAATCGGGAATCTCCAACTAAAGCAGGAGGTGAGCCTGCCACTTGTGAAATGCCCCCCAAATCTTCCTCAGATGAAGTGGAAACACAACTCTTAATTACCAAAAGACTGATAGATTTGGAGAATATGTATTTTGAGAAGCATCAACAAGAAAAACAAGATAGACTGTTTGCATTGGAGCTTCAAAGAATGCTGGATGAAGAAGAAAGAGGAATGCGGAGTGGAAAGTCTGCCTGCTCTCCAGACACTTCAGCAAAAGGAGAGAGTTCCAAAGATAAGGCCATATGAAAGGTAAAGTAATATAAAGTATCTAAGATTTAAATAATCACCTTTTTAAAAGATGTAGTTGAAGCATTTAGCTAATGTTAGTGTGGAAAAGATGGCAAACTGCTAAAGAGAATGAAAATTATAAACAAAGTTTTCACTGCCAAGTAATTTGCAGACAAGTGTTTTACAAATGTCTTGAGAGGTAAACAAAATAATGCAGGGTAGAATGTTTTGAACCCCTAAAAGTGCATTTTGAAGTTGTCTTTCCTATGATAGACCTATAAATGTATCATTAAATATTTAAAATTGTCATTTGATGGGCACAGTCTCACTGTCTTTGTTGTTTTGCTGTTTTTTGAAACAGGGTCTCTTGAGATCCTACTGCCAGCCTTCTGAGCACTGTATTTACAGATGTGTACTACTACATCAACCTGCATTCATCATTGATGGACCTTATGATTACAGAGAAGATAAGTGTGCTTCTGTAAAACTCAAGTCATGAGCAAGGGTGCCTAGCCTTTTCATAGTTTCATGCTTTTCATAGTTGCTCTGTTGTTAGCAGGGGTGATAATAAAGTTGGATAGTTCTTAGGAATATAAAATGCTTTGGGAGTACTAAACCTCTTGAAGTCTTGTAATGCCAATTCATTAATCACTTGCTACTCAAACAAGCTGGTTAACAGTTTTTTGTTTTGTTTTGTTTTGAATGGAATAAAGGGCCAGGTAGAACTCACTGTAGTTTGAGGCCAGCCTGGTCTGTATAGTAAGTTCCAGAGAGCTACATAATGAGACCTTGTCTCAGTCAAACCAGACCAACAAAAACAAAAAAAGAATCCTTAAAATGTGATAGAAGGGCTAGAGATATAAGTTAGTATAGGTAAAAGTTAGTAGGAAAGTGCCCTGAGTTCAATCACTGGTTTGGAAAAAAGAAAATAAAATAAAAGAATAGGAAGATAGGAATGTACTCCAAGGTACCTGAAGTAATTACATATATTTCCACATAGTATTCCTTCTGTTGATACTAAGTTTTATATGTATTGAGACAAATTATAAGGTATTTAGTGGCTGGGTTTAGTGGCCCATGCCTGTAATCTCAGTACCTGGGAGACGGAGACAGGAGAATCACAAGTTCAAGGTCAACCGGGCTCTATGGCAAGATCCTGTCTCAAAAAAGTTTTACAAAATAGGAGTTTGGAATTTAGTTCAGAAGTAGCATACTTGACTATAAAGCATTTAGACCCTTGGTTTGGTTCCCAGTGCCAAAACAGAGAAAAAAAAATAAATGTCGTAGTTGGTTTTCAGCTAGTGAAGTATACCTCTAAATATTTCCAGAGAGGATTAGTATGTGGAACAGTGACTGAAGAAAAAGACCTGACTAACTAGACTAGGATCCCAGATGGGAAAAGTTGAAGAAGCCAGAAAACAATAGATTCCAGACTTTACCTGTCAATGTGAACCTGACAATAGCAACTCTCCAGCGAACATCAAGATCTTCAGCACCTGACAGGGACTGCTAGAAGCTTCCAGAAGACACTGTTCTGTCTATTGGTTGTGTTTAATTAATATGAACATTTAGCAGACAGTTCTAACTTTTCTAAGAGATATTTGTTGTTTTTTTTTGCCTTTTAAGTAATATTTTAATAAGTTGTAATTAGCTTACAAACATTGTAGGTTTCCTCATATTTTCATACATAGTTTTGGTTGACCCCACTCCTACCTCCCTCTCCCTCTCCTCTCCCTCATATCCCTGACCCCTAACCCATCCCCTCCTCTCCATCTTCTCCTGGATCTTTACCCCCCAACATGCACACACTTAAACCTGCCCTCAATATTCCCCCTTCCTCTTTCATATCAGGTGTTCTAGTGCCCTCCCCACCTTAAAGCTTCATTTCCCTCCATCTAATGGGCCCCTTTCTAGTTTTCATGACACTACACACACCCACTCCATCACAAATTCACATATATAAAACTTAGAAGATAGAATTCATATATGTAGTGTTTGTCTTTTATGCCCTATGGCCAATCTATCTTACATTTGTCAGTTCTTATCTCAATGTGTTATTCTCCAAATTTTGTAATGAGATTGTTAGTCTTTCTATACTTCATGTTATTCATATAAATTTTATTGGATATAAATATAATTGTAAATATAGGTAGATATACATACCTGGTTTTATTTATATATATATACATATATATACATACATATATATATATACATACATATATACATATATATATATACATACATATATACATATATATATATATATATATATATATATAATATAGTAAAGCTGGGGAACACACCCAGGACCCTATGGATATTGGGCAGGCACTCCACCACTAAACTATACTGCTAGTTCTTTGGTGCCAACTTCAATTTTAATTTGCCTTTTCTCATAAAAAAGTGTCCTTTGAGCAATGATTGTGATGATAATGTAGTATTAATTGGAAACTAACAACATTTGCCTAAAACAAAGATATATCTTCTTATCACATCACTATTGTTTCTAAGAGCAGTATTTCAGGGTAGACATTTTTGGAGCTCCTCAAAATAAAACTTCTGTATTTAAATCTTCTTAGACCAGCTCATAACTAAAATTTTTAAAGGGGCTATACTTTGATATATTTAGCATTTATATATTTGTCTGTGAAGATGTCTCCCTGACTGAAGTTCATTTTAGGATATGTTTTTCTGTATTACCCTTGTTCTTTCTACCATATGTGAATTTGTTAGGCCAATAAAAAGGTCATTGCCAGTTATTAGAATGTACTGATTACCTTTTCACTTTGGTAGAATATGAAAATGCTTGATTTTTCAGCGAATACTAAAGCTGTGCAGATGTTAAGAATATGAAATTAAAGGAATAAAAATAAAATGGTTCTCATCTCTCTTTTTTTTCTTTGAGACAGGGTTTCATCTCAGACTGTCCTCTAACTTGCTATGTAGGTGAGGATGACTTCATCATTATTGTTGAGACTATATAGCCCTAGCTGCCTACAGCTCACTATGTAGACCAAACTGGCCTCAAACTCAGTGATCCACCTGCCTCTTCCTCCTGAGTGCTGGGATTAAAGACGTGCGTCACAATGCTGAGGTTGACTTTAAACTTCATCCCCCTGTCTACCTCTGGGTTGGGGGATTATAGGTATGCAGCAGCACACCCAATTTATATGGTGCTGGGAATGAATCCAGGGCTTAATACATGATAGCCAATAACCCCTGTAGTGGAACACATGCAGGTCCCTGGGTTTAATCTATGATACCTAAAAGAAAAAAAGAATGGGTGAAGGAAAAAATAAGAGAATTAAGAGGTGAGGAGAAGGGTGAGAAATTGGGGATAGGGAAGGCAAGAAAAAAAATGGAACGTTTCCTTTTGAGTTCCCAGTGGGTGTGATACCTCCTGCTATATTTCTTGAATGCATGCTGTACTTCTCAATAGTACCCTGCACACAAACTGCCAGCAGGCCACTTCTGAGCTGCTAGAACTTGAGCAAGGCACTTAACCTGTATGTACTTCAATTTCCTGAGTGGCTAACCCTATGGGGAGTTACAGATCCTGCCTCACCACGATACTTGAAAGAAATATGATCTCATAACAGCTCAAATGCCTGACTAGCATACAATTGCTCCAGATGCAGAAACAGTTACTATTTTTAAACTAGATGTATCCTGCCCAGTCCATAGCACAGAATATCTACTAAATACAAGAAGGAACAAATGGTTCTGAGTTTCCTAGTATATCTTATCCCTGGACACTTCTTTGTGATATTTTCAAATTTAAACCTTACCATAAATCTCTGCAGATGCTATAGACTTTCATGAATTTCTTTATCCCCTTTCCATCTATCTTCTATCAACAATAAAACCTTGGGGAGGAAAGCAAAAAACAATTACAGAAGCCAGGCAGTGGTAGCACACACTTTAATCCCAGCACTCAGGAGGCAGAGGCAGGTGGAACTTTGTGAGTTTGAGACTAGCCTGATCTACAAAGTGAGTTCCAGGACAGACAGGGCTAGAGAAACCCTGTCTGAAAAAAAAAAGACAATAAGCAATCATACAGAATTGATGGGATTTTAGACAACATACTGGAACTAGTCAGGCTTAAAAGAATGTCACTCAAAAGAACATGCCCAACTGTATAAAAAGACATGGCTGTAATTTTTAGCAGACAGGACTCAGAATCAACATGGTAGGTTCACAATTCACATCGTTGTAAAAGGATTTATTGTTTAATCATTCTTTCACCCCTCAGCCCCATCCAGCCACTCACTCTGCTTTTCTGATCATTCTACAAAGCTGAATATAGTCCCCTTTATGGAGGATGAAAAGCAATGTGAGCGTTAGTACTTTTCAGCATGGCTTTACTAGGCACTATGCCTCTATGCAGGGAGTACTAGCTTGCAACAAGTGAGATTTTCCTAGGGCTCCACGGAGTAGTCCTTTTTCAAGGTCACTGGGGCACTCATGGACTTGAAATGCCGCTTGCCATCTAAATACAACATGGACTCTGAAACACAAGAAAGACACCTCTGGAGAAATTTGCAGCACCTTGGACAATCGTACAGATGAATGCCTACTTTGGAATAGTAGGACAGCACTATATGTGCAAAGGCAGCAACAGGGATGCACTTTGGGCCTGGGACTACACAATGATCCTAAGAGAGCAGACCGTGACCATATCCTTTTTGTTAGCTGCACTACTCTTTCATTATCAGTGGCTGTTTGCAGTTCACACCAGCTCCCTGTACAACAGCTGTGAGAAGCAGCAACAGCCACTCCTGGGGCCCAAAAGGCATCCTTGGCTTTCAGGGTTACAGAACTTCAAAACCCAACTATCCCAAAGACATGTTCCAGGGCTAACAGACTTGGAGACACTGCTGAGGATAAAGTAAAAGAGGAGGGGTGGAAATATAACTCAGTGGTAGAGCACATGTCTAGCTCATGTGAATCCCTGGGTTCAGGGATAAATTAAAAGACGAGGGCTGGGTATATAGTTCAGTGGCAGAAAACCTGCC